CCATGCACCATTCATACATTCATACACGTGCATGTAGATGTACTGCAATCTGATTGGCTGAAACTTTAAACAGCTATTACTCCCTTAGTTTTCACCCAAACGGGGTGGAATTTAGAACATAGATAGATGTAATGGACTTCTACAAGAAGGTATGGTCACTATGCTGATGTATGCACGTGCGTGCACGTGAAATGAGTAAAATCAAACACTTGAATGAACCTATTTTTAAATAATTTTGGATTAAATACTTTAATATTCAGTGTATTAAAAATATAGATTGTGTAGACAAGATGATATGGTCATGACGCAAATGCATTCACATGTGCACGCGTGCAATGCTAAAGTTTAAATGATTTTTGTACACTTCTTTGTAAATGTTGTTAAAATCTCAGATGCATAGAAATTTTAAACATAGACATGCATTATGATATCCTACAACGTGATATATAGCAATTATCATGAAAACACGTGCATGCACGTGCTCTGCAATCTGATTGGCTTAAACTTTAAATAGCTATAACTCCCTTGTTTTTCAACCAAACAGGATGGGGTTTGGAACATAGATAGATATAATAGACTCCTACAAGAAGGTATGGTCACCATGCACATGCATACACATGCGTGTACTCGCGCTGCAATCTGATTGGTTGAAACTTAAAACAGCTATAACTCCCTTGGATTTCAACCAAACGGGGTGGGATTTAGAACAACGATAGATGTAATGGACTTCTATAAGAAGAGATGGTCACATGCCCGGGTATGCACGTGTGTACACGTGAAATTAGCAAAATCAAAAATACACTTGAATGAGCGTATTTTTTAAAAATATTTTGGATTAACTACTTTCATATTTAGTATATTTAAATATATAGATCATGTAGACATTAAGCACATGCATTCACATGTGCACGCACGCAATGCCAAAATTTGAATGAACTTGGTACACTTCTGGGTAAACGTTGTTAAAGTCTCAAAAACAAAAAGTTTGTCTTATTTAATGAAGCTTACAGGGAATATGGCACCAAAAGGGAGTTGGGGAGCGTTTGGGGAACATCTGTAACGGTCCCCGTTACAATTAGCACTAGTTTACAATAATATTACAATATCTCAACAAAAGCATTATTCGTGAATCATAGCATTTGATTTAACTTTTGTGCCTGATCATCATCAGAGTCTGTTTTAATGCTTTATATTCTTTCCAGTGCCACCATACCGGGTATTGTATACCAAACACAACAGACTTAGCATACAGCCCGTTAAGGTTTGTGAAATAACACGAGCTCCTGTACCACCAGCCTCCTGTAGCACAGTTACGTCTTCCGTTAATGATGTTGTCCTGGTCCTTGGTACTGAATTTATTACCATTGTTAAAATACAAACTGTTACCTGCAACAAAGAAACTGCTGATTAATTTAAAATTGTCGAAACAAAATAACATAGACTTAATTATGTACAATCTCAAGATGTTTATGTAAAAGTTTGTTAAATGATTTTCCCTTAACATTTATATGTTGCTTCTCAACTCGATCATTAATCTTTTATATTTAATTTATTTTACTATAAGAAAAAGTCAAACTGTAACATAAGGTATTGATAAATTCTACAATTATAATTATTGCTTATACGAAAAGAGATGGAAATATAATTATTTTTTTATTATTCATGATCTCTTTTTATGTTCCATTATATTTAATCATATTTGAATCCAGAAGCACATTTTAATTCGGCGAACACTCTCAATATTTCACATTTCTTTTTCCACTTTAGTCAGAACGTTAGAATCAATATGGTATACGAGTATATTCAGAAAGATACAAAATGCTGAGAGCTTTATGCTGTGAGTTCATGGTATTCTTGTATTAACTCCTTACTTAATCGTACTGATATTTAACTTAATGATGATTTAGGTATGTCACTTCCAGAGATTCAAATATTTTTGAATAGAATATTAATAAACTTCAGAACTTTAAAATTACATGTGAAAAAAAAACAAAACAGGAAATACGAAAGATGGGGAATTCTTTACCTTCACCTAGGCTACCTAAGACTATCTTTTTATTGAATCCTTTCAAAATATTTTAACAAACTAGAGCAAAGCTCGTTGCAAAGCAACGAGTAGGTCTTCCGTCCTGTTTGACCGGAAGTAATTTTCATTTAAACGAAAAAAAAAGAAATGACGTCTCTCATGATTAAAATAATCTAAATCTATGTTGAAAATTGCAAATGTAAGCCGTTTTTGCTACTTCCTGTTTGACCGGAAGTGACGTCGAGGGACTGAAAATTAAGTTTCATGCTTCCAGTGACAAATGTTTCCCCAAAACGTGTCAAAAACGGCAAATTATGCAGTTTCGGACTCCTTCCGGTTTGGCCGGAAGTGACGTCACAGGACGTTTTTTGATGACATCAGTAGATTTTACTAGAGATTTTCAACAATTTTCTTGTTTAATGTATAACAAATTCTCAATACTTTTTGAGATATCTGGAAAAACTTTTGGCCCCTCTAGATCCCTTAATTTAGGGGTCAACCCTTTTTCCAGATATCGTTTGAAAGATCTTCTAATTTTGCACAAATTATGTTCTATATATTTAAACAAAATATTATTAGTAAAATATGAGTAATTTTTGGCTCTTTTAAGCGTTCTAATTTTTGACCCCTATATAGCGCCAGTTTTAATAGAGAAATCGGAAAATATAAAACGATGTGTACAACTTCAATTCTTCTATTATCTAAAATCAGTAAAATTTCTGCTCCAGCTTTAGCCGTCACTGAGACTTTGTCTGGAAACGAAAGCCTATAAATTTTCGTTTAAAGGGAAATAACTCAAAACCGGAAGTGACTTTTTGAAATTTTTGACAGCAATTTGATAGAATTTAGTAACTTCTTAGTACCTCTTAAATTTGAGCGAAATCAATTGAGAAATGATTGAGATATGAGGCTTCAAAGTTGGCGTCTAGGAAGTAGAAAGAAAAAAATCTTTACCAACAGAATCAGTAGAAGGTCTTCCGTTGGAAACGGAAGACCTTTTAAAACAATAAACATAGATCAGTACTAGTCATAACATGGTAACGAATATCAGCTCACAGGCTTGTAATTGAAACTGGACGGTATAAAAAATACAAAAAATATCAGATGAACGAATTTTTTCACTTTGTACGTTGGCCATTTCCGGATTTTGATCAGTTCCAAATAATTATTGATTTAAGAGATTTATTAATTCAAAAGTGTATACATAAATTGATACCTTTGTTATGAAGACTTATTAACCCCTATCCCTGCAATCACGCATTTTAACGCATATACCGTTGCCCCTCAATCACGCAATTCTGTTTTGGACGTTTTCTACTCTGATAACAAAGTTTTGATGGCAAATTTTGTTATTCCATTCTAATATATTTCGCAAGTAATATCATTTTCCCCCAATTTAATATGTTCGAGTCGTTAGATTTATTGGACGAAACTTGGGATTCCAGACAAATTAAGATGGTCTTTCTTTTGACACTAAATAAGCTCGCAATCCACTGGAGTGGTGATGTGGAAGTCACTCAATCTTGCGTAAGATGGGACCCTTGATTCAGAATTTATCGAATTCGACAAATGATTTTTTATGTAAGTGTTTGATAAGTGTGCAGAAATCGACAGAAGGAACGTATAAAATTACAAAAGAATTTTTAATTTAATACATACTCATACAACTGTAGAGAAAAAAAGTTTTGTTCATAGAAGATAGCTTTGTTCCAGTTTACATGTAATCTTATGTTAACATGTAGCCTCATGTTGTCTTATTTTTTGTTCTATTTTTAAAAATTTAATTTGTAAAAATACAACCTGATTTTTCCCCCCTTTAAATGCCTGGATACCTATCGTTTTTAAACCTAAAATATATTTGTTCATCAACTTGCAATTAGAAAATGCATTGCTAATATTCCAGTTCGCTTTTTCTGCAAAAATATTGGAAATTTGATAATTTTCCCTATATAGTACATGATTAACTTTAATTTTTAACTATAAAGAAATGTTGTGGATAAATTAACATAACTTTGTGGATTCAGGGATACGTTTATGAGTATTTTTTGTAACACCACATCTGGAGACGGAAATTTACGAACTTTTTAAGACAACTTAAACAAAAAAATAAATAATTTGCAAATCCTATCATTGAATATTTGAAAATTTACGTTTAAGTTCAAGTTCGTCATTGTATTGATTAACTGTAAAAATATCGATTGGTTAAGCTGAGCTCAATATTGCACGGGGCAACGTTAAACGAGACATGATCATGAGAAAAACGTGTCATGTTTACATTTCTTGAGTACGGGAAAACCCAACTATGACGTCACACATTTCTGAAATAAGCGAAATAAGACATACCCACAGTACATTTCTGTCAACAACCATGTAAAAATATTTTTTGCGTTTTCAAATTCACAGAATACCCCACCATGTACAGATTATGGCCCGTTTTTATGATTTTATGCTACCCGTTTTACCATGTATGATCTTACTGTACTTAGAGATCCACTATGACGTCAACAGCGCGCTGGACGCGCAGTGTAGGGAAACGGAAGAGTGGATTAATCTATTCCGTAATTTGATAATATTTGCAAGAAATTTTAAATATTTTCAGATATTTTTATACTAGATGGTGAACGCAAACAAACAGTCACAAAATTATACAAGTAACGTGGTTTCAATCTCGTTTTGTACATATTTTATCAGAGATTATTACGTAATTCAACTGAGTCACATGACCATACATCCTTTGTCCCCTTAAATAGTTTACAGCAAAATTGCCTACAAGAGCTGGCGTTTGCTAGCTATGTATTTAAAATGCATGTTATTTCAAATTCAACGCTATTTCTTCTATCATTTTATTTAAGAAAATATTTTTATCATTATTTACAATGCATACTAAAAGACAAATACTGTTTTCTGAATTGTTAGAAGAGATACTTGTATATTAATAATAATAAAAAAGAAAAAACTAATATTAAACGTTTTTCTAACGTATTCAGATTAACAAATAAACAAAAGTATGTTTGTAATAAAATGACAATATCACAACAAAAATATTATTCATGAATCATAACATTGATTTAACTTTTGAGTCTGATCATCATCTGTGTCTGTTTTAATGCTTCATGATTTTTTTCCCAGCCATACCATATCGGGTATTCTATACCAGACACACCAAGCTTAGCATTCAGCCCGTTAAGGTTTGTAAAAAGACACGAGCTCCTGTACCACCAGCCTCCTGTAGCACAGTTACGTCTTCCGTTAATGATGTTGTCCTGGTCCTTGGTACTGAATTTATTACCGTTGTTAAAATACAAACTGTTACCTGCAACAAAGAAACTGCTGATTAATTTAAAATTGTCGTAACAAAATAAAATATACCTAGTTTAATCATGTACAATCTCAAGATGTTTTATGTAAAAGTTTGTAAAATGACTTTCCCTTAACATTTATACACAGGCAAAAGTGGCTCGCATGAACTTCATATGAAATTCGCACGAATATCATGCGAATTCTTCGCATGAAAAGGAGACGAAAAGGACCATGCATGATATTCGCATGAAAATATCATGCAATTTTGACATGAAATTCGCACGAATATCATGCGAATAAAAATTCGCACGAAATTTATATGAATATTTTTGTTACTTTCTTTACAGATTTTCATATGAATGTCGTGCGAATTTCATGTGAATATCATAATATATTCATATCAAATCCATGTGATGTACTCAGTATATATTTTTCCCAGTTAATTGAACTTTCAATTCTTTTAATCCATTTGATGAAAAGTATTAGGAAATTCTAATTCTTAGATCTGTATATGAATTTGTACAACTAATCATCAAGGTTTCACTGTTACTGATATTCAAAAAAATGCATTAAGTACAATCTCAAAATCTGATCCAGCAAATGACTTTATGAGCTTTATCTAAATCTTAATTTGAAACTGCTTAATTTGAACACATGCAGATTTTGAGGAAGCACCACTATGATTATCCAAGTTATTCTTTTGATGAACAAACAACTGGACACATTCTGTTTCTTAATCTTCTTTATTGAATGCTTCAATTCTTTTTAACATTCTCTGCTCAAGGGCCACCCATCTGTCTAGAGATTGTTTCATCTGCAAGAGAAAATAATTGTAATGAATACTGGGTACCGGTAAATGAAATACAGTCATGAATTTAATACAACTGCATTTCCAAAGTTAATATTTCCCTATTTATCAGGATAACATAAAATATGAACAAATGTAGATATAGCAATCTCATATCACCCCTAAGTTCAATTTGGTAAGGTTATATTTATTTTGCCTACATTGTAAATGATCTTTAAAAAATTAAAAATCATACATCATAAATTATAATTAATTCAAAATCATACATCATAAATCATAATATTTACATTTGCAAATGTTTTCCTTTATATAACACTACTAAAGGCAAGCGTTTTTATAACTGTGTAAATACAGGTATGGGGTCAAGAGGTCATAGATGTGCGTTTGGATAAACGTTCGACGTAATTTCTCTGTGACGTCATAAAGGGTCGACGCGCGTTTAGTGGATTACATACATGCCGTTGTGTTTGAAAAATTAAGGCATTTCACACGTTAAAAGTAACAATCAGGCAAATATAAAGTATGAATAAGTCACAAATGTAAATATAAGTAATAAGGTATCATTTTTTGAGTTTTATTGAGATGTAAAACGGGTTGGCACATGATCAAATCTTCCATAAAGCCCTTCGGGCTTTATGGGATTTGATCACGTGACCAACCCGTTTTACATCTCAATAAAACTCAAAAAATGATACCTTATTTCTTAAATAAAAGTACAAGAGGCCCAGGGGCCACATCGCTCACCTAAGCAATTGGCTAGGAAAAAGCACATATCAGATCAAAACTGAAAGTTTACTGAGGGGGGAAGGGGCATGAATTTTAACCCCCCAAGGGGGTCATGATTTTAACAAACTTGAATCTACACTACCTAAGATGATTCCCTATAAATCTCACTATTTTGGCCCCACCCTACTCCCCGGGGTCATGATTTGAACAAACTTCAATCTACACTACCTCATGAATATGATTCCACATGAGTTTCATCTTTCCTGACCCAGTGGTTCTTGAGAAGAAGATTTTTAAAGATTTTTCCTATAAGTTCCTTTGTAAAATTTTGATCGGCCATTTTGGTCACACCCTACCCCAGGGGGTCATGATTTAAACAAACCTCAATCTACACTACCTGAGGATGATTTCACATGAGTTTCATCTTTCCTGGCCCAGTGGTTCTTGAGAAGAAGATTTTTTAAACATGCTATTAATTTTTCACTAATTCATAATCATCTCCCCTTGGAAGAGGGCGTGGCCCCTCATTTGAACAAACTTGAATCCCCTTCACCCAAATTTTGATCAGGAAAGCTCACTTGAGCCTTCGGCTCAGGTAAGCTAATAATTATAATGTTTCTTAAGTATAAAATTATTGAAAAAAAATGAAAACAATTTTCCTGCAAATGACTTAAAACTTAAAAACAATCTTGTGTCAGGTATCAATTAAACCTTGAGATAATTGTCTCTGTTTCATTGACCTTTATCTGATGATGCAATTTGTATCTGTATCTGTAGGGCATTTAAAAGCAAAATTTACCTACCACTGCATCTGTGTTCCTTCTGAATGCAAGCCAGAAATATGTGGCTGTGGTAGCTGGATTTTTTCTGAACAATTTCTTCTTTGTGTCCATCAGCGAAAGCTCTCTGTAAAGCAAAGAACAGAAATAAATCTAAAAATAATATTAAGACTTGTCATGAATTTTATATCTTCAAAGTTCAACTTTTTAAAGGAATAAGTTTGAATCTGTTTTATTATTTAAACGGTCATGGAAATATTACATTTTGTATGCACTAGCTAATTTTGCCTCTGTTATCAAAGATTGTTCGGTTTATATTGTTTTTTTACTGTTATGTCCATCTTTCTGTCTATTTAACCTTTCAACACACTTATGAGTGGGTGGGGCTATGGCTTAATTCATATTCCACAGGTGTATTTCATGTAACAAGAACTTTATAGGGGTACTATAAAATTTGACCTCTTGACCTTGATATTAGGGTTTGATCCACTTTTACAAAAAAAAAATCCCTGAACTTTAACCTAGGCTATAATTTTGAACAGTTAGTGCTATCAATCTGATAATTCACATTATTTTGTAATCATTGTGAAAGACCCTTCAATAAGTTTTTTTTTACCTTAAAATTGGTTTTGACCTAAGAGTTTGACCCACTTTTAAAAAATATAATCTAGGCCACACCTTTTAAAACAGTTAATACTAAAATTCTCATATGTCACAGGTTAAATTATTCCGCATGACAAAACCTTCCTTCAGATGCTAACAATTTTGACCTTTTGACATTGACATTTAAGTTTGCCTTGCATTTCAGTCCTCGCTTTAAGATGTCGTATAGGCATATATAAAGGCATAAAGATAAGATAAAATAATATATGTATGCATTAAGTTTATTTGCTGAGTCTCTAGGAGCAGAAAAAGATGACTGTCAAAGAATTACTGCATTTTTTATGTCTACTATAACATCACTAAATTCAGGCTCCGGGATCATGAAACTGTCTTAAATTAAAGTCAGAATTTTGTCTTAATTTTAAAATGTAGACTTAATTAAGATTGCGTTCTTAAGTGGATCATAAAAGAGACTAAGCCAAATATTAACAAAGATTATGCTAAGCAAAAAGCATGACTGAAAATCTTTATCGCTATAGTAGCATGCGTGATCTTTAGCGCGCTTACAGTAATTTATTGGAACTCTTCAATGTTGAAGTTACATAATCGTCTGCCGTCGAAACAAAAATGACTGAAATAGCTGAAACTAGTGAAAGTAGTAAGATCACAAAGGAGAGGAATAGGAAAGTTAATTGGTTACTGAAAGATGAAATACTGTTAGTTGAGGAGGTAAAGAAGAGAGAATCATTGTTGTTCGGAAAGTTAGATGGTTCAGGCAGAACAGCGGGGGAGAAAGCGAAAGCATGGAAGGAGATTGCCGACTTGATCAATGCGTAAGTCACTATCAGCTTGCTGTTATCTTTAGCATAGTAAAAAAAAGAACATGTACATGAGAGTCGATCAAAAAAAAAATATCATGAAGTAAAGTTTGTTAAAGAAAGTTCAACTCGTTACTGATCATTTTCACCTAGGTAGAAGCAATTTGAAAGAAAAAAAAGAAGAACCATTTAATTATACTTACTGCATGAAAAAAACGTGTCGTGGATTTTTTGTGTGGATAATTAAGGGCTAATACAATGAATGGCCAAAGCTGACCTGCTTAATTTATGAAACTGTAATTCATGTATGCATTTACAAATGTACACACACATGCAGTCTCTCCCTGTTTTTTTTTTTAGCTTTTAAATAAATGTATGGAACTGGGTCAACTTTCATGCCTTAATCATGCTAATTATATCATTGTAGATCATGCACTGTTAATTCTTCAACTTTTTCAATTTTATTTAATTTTGTCCATCGACATTATATATATGTATAAATGATGCACAAATATTGGTTTATTTATTTATATATGAAAATCATGCAGTTGACCGATTAGCAATTCTGCACTCCATTGTCATCCCTACAATATTATTAATTTATTTGTATCTTTTGTTACATATAGACTATTGAGATGACATACGGAGAGGGGGTAATCTTTATACCGCATAATAAAATATTAAGGAGCGTATAAAGTATAAATATGTCTTACCATTAAGTTTGACCTATTTTGGATAAAAATAGGATGTGAACAAAAGTTACAGATAATATTTTCAGTTAAAGAACTGACGAGCAATATATTCTCGGTAACCAAATCCATTTTGGTTCATCAGCTGCAAGTTGTCCTCAATGTCAGGACCAGCTATTACTAAGTCATTAATGTCTGTGGTTACAATGTCTTGGCGTAGGATCCCTATGTTATGCAGCATAACGCATGACACAACATACATACACGCTCTGTTCGGGTTGGTATGAAGTCCTACTGACAGGCAGGGGAATCTCCTTTTCAAAATACCATAGGTTTGTTCAGTGAGGACTCTTGTCCTACAAAGGGCCCTATTGAATTTCTCCCTGTAGTGCACATCATTAGTTGTGTTAAAAGGAGTCATCAGGTAAGTTTAACAAGGGTAAGCCGAGTCTCCCAATAATATTCCATCATGCTGACCTTAAAAAATAATGTATGTACAAAGTATATATATATATAATTATATAATTTAAATGACAAGGCAACACATATATATTTTAGCTCAACTTCAAGACAATGTTGAGTATACTCATTATGGTATTGAGTTACATGTATTATAATGTATTACCATTTTCAAATTGCTCACAGAGCTTGCTCTCCCGAAATATTCTTGAGTCATGACACGAGCCTGGCCATCTTGCAACACAGTTTGTTACTAGGAAATTACTGTCACATGTCATCTGAAATATATGGATGGAAAAAAAAGATTACCATATTGCTTTTTCAGGTATGGGTTTCTGTTAAATTTTTATAACACAGTCCAAGCCAAAAAAAGGTAAAAATATATTACAGTTGAACAGTATCTCAACACTCGTATCTCGAATGCCATGGATATGCTAAAATGATCTGACAGTCTGAACCTTATTCCTACAATATTTTACCCTTGACATCTCTGATACTCAGATATATTTTAAAGTTTTTTTCAGTACCATGGAGTTCGAGATGGCGTGTTTTGACTGTATTCCCATTTTACCTGTACATTCAAGGAATGGTAACCTATACGGTTAACAAAGTCCTGCTCGTTTTCTTTGGGTGTTTGTATCCTTATAAAAGTTCCATCGATGCATCCAAGTATACCGGAAAACCTTCAAAGGAAAGCAAACAACAGCTTTAAATTATGATCCCTTAAGCAGGGTGCATTAAGTCACAGTGCTAAGATTGATTGATTGTGTATTGTTTAATGTCCCTCTCGAGAATTTTTCACTCAAATGGAGATCCTCAAAGAGTCACAGTGCTGAGAAGATGTGATCCTAGCTTGGGAATGCATAGAAAAAAAACAGTCAATCATAATCATATATATTTGCAAACAATCCCAATTTTTGCAAAGACCACAACAGAGTACATTGTATAATTAATTTGCCAATTAACATTGCAAATATTTATGGACATAACTATATATATAGCTGTACATTTCTGTTTAAATTCTCAGATGAGTCATTCTTGAGCCTCTTAATTGTTTATAGAAATTAACTATTAGAATTATTTATCATGCAGATCATGGGGCAAATATATGGAAGAAAAAATTAATAACAAAAATGTTGTTAAAAAAGGGAGTCTGAATTTAATGTTATCTTGTTAATAACAAGGTGTGACAGGAATGATTTTTGTTAGTAACAATATACAAATATATGCAAAATGACATAATATTATTAAACAAGAGGCCCATGGGCCACATCGCTCACATGAGCACTATAAGGGTAGAAAAAGGTAGAAAATGGCTGTTTATTGTAGTTTAAATCCAAAAGTAGTCCCATGACCAATCATGGATTTGCTATTTTTTAGAAATGATTTTTTAAGAATTTTCCTATATATATCTTCAAAAACTTTGGTCGGCCATTTTGGCCCCGCCTTACCCCTGGGGGTCATGATTTGAACAAATTTGAATCTACACTACTTGAGCATGCTTCCATATAAATATGATGAATTATAGCTTTGTCATTCTCGAGAAGAAGATGTTTAAAGAATTTTCCTATATATTTCAATGTAAAACTTTGGTCGGTCATTTTGGCCCTGCCCTACCCCGAGGGGTCATGATTTGAACAAACTTGAATCTACACTACCTGAGCATGCTTCCATATAAATAAGATGAATTATGGCTTTGTCATTCTTGAGAAGAAGATTTTTAAAGAATTTTCCTATATATTTCTATGTAAAACTTTGGTCGGCCATTTTAGCCCGCCCTACCCCCGGGGGTCATGATTTGAACAAATATGAATCTACACTACCTGAGCATGCTTCCATATTAATATGATAAATTATGACTTTGTCATTCTTGAGAAGAAGATGTTTTAAGAAATTTCCTAAATATTTCTATGTAAAACTTTGGTCGGCCATTTTGGCCCCGCCCTACCCAGTGGGGTCATGATTTGAACAAACTTGAATCTACACTACCTGAACATGCATCCATATAAGTATGATGAATTATGGCTTTGTCATTCTTGAGAAGCAGATGTTTAAAGAATTTTCCTATATATTTCTATGTAAAACTTTGGTCGGCCATTTTGGCCCCGCCCTACCCAGTGGGGTCATGATTTGAACAAACTTGAATCTACACTACCTGAACATGCTTCCATATAAATAAAATGAATTATTGCTTTGTCATTCTTTAGAAGAAGATTTTAAAAAGAATTTTCCTATATATTTCTATGTAAAACTTTGGTCGGCCCTTTTGGCCCCGCCCTACCCCCGGGGGTCATGATTTGAACAAATTTGAATCTACACTACCTGAGCATGCTCCCATATAAATATGATGAATTATGGGTTTGTCATTCTTTAGAAGAAGATTTTTAAAGAACTTTCCTATATATTTCTTTGTAAAACTTTGGTCGGCCATTTTGGCCCCGCCCTACCCCTGGGGGTCATGATTTTTACAAACTTGAATCTACACTACCTGAGCATGCTCCCATATAAATATGATGAATTATGGCTTTGTCATTCTTGAGAAGAAGATTTTTAAAGAG